GCCTGGTCCGTGAGGCTGTGTCCAGAGTCGTGTCTTTGCGGGGTACCGCGTGTTGTGTTTGTACACGGGCGTAACAGGGAACGACACGCGCGCGGCAGCAGCGCTTCCGGAGGGGACGCGGCGCCCGGGTGGGCTGGCCCGCGCCGCGGCCCAAACCGGGCAGCCGGGCCAAGGAAGCGGCGTGTCACGAGGTGAGGGGCGGGCCCCGGGGCTCGACGCCAACTGATCCAGGGCTGGCGCATGGCAGGCAGTGGGGGGTGCCCTGGACCTGGCGCGGGGCCGGTGGTAACCCCTCGCGCCCACGATGCTCAAAGGGGCGTTACAAATAAGTACGTTTCCCGGATGATTGCTCCAGTCCTTGTTTCACTGAAGTCGTACGAGGTTTCCTGCTGAAATTGGTGGCGGTGGGTTGGGGACCGGTGTTGGTTTGCTCGTCCCGTGTCAAACCTGAGCACAGCTCTTAGCGCCTGGACTCTCACGGCAGCTGGACTTGATTAACAGTGGGGTGAGAGAGCCATAGTTTAGTATCCAGGAAAAGTAAGCTATTAATAATGACCCAAAACACCAACATGGTGCCATAGTTTTCATTCTGGTTGGCCTTTACCTTGAGAAACCTTAATAGTCTGTCCCCCCGACCACTTCACTTTTCCTGTCCTTTTCATGGTTCAAGGTATGTTTTAGTCTCATGTTTTGGGATGTTCCTGTTGGGCCCCGCTCTTTCTAGGTGCAAAGCCAGCCGTGCTCGGGGTGTACGTGCCTACAGGAAGGGGCAGAAGAGGTGAGAGACGAGCAGTAAACGAGGCCAGCAGCAGCTGCCGGGCTGGTTGTGTGCGCTTTGGTCGCTGTCTGCTTGTTGTGTTTGCCCTCCAGATCAGGTAAACAGTTGATCTGAGCTGAGAACAAGATTTGTGGTAGGACTATGGGTTTCCCTAGAGTTACGTTGCAGTTGTTATATTACTGTGGCCTCTGACTCTGTCCACAAGACAAATTTATATATGGCACCCAAGATAGGAAAAGAAAACATACAAACCATGATAATGTGTCCACATTTTACAGGTAGGGTCATAAAATGAAGTATTCTTTAAACAAACAGACAGATACTTGATTTAACACTGGTTACTTAGAGCAACAGCTCGGAAGTTTTGCTGGTTTTTATTTATTTCCATCAAAGTCTGCAGAGGCACGTTCTGCAGTGAGCATGTCAACTCTGGAAAACCCATTACTAACCTACAGCAGTAAATAGCATCAAGACAAACTAACTTTCATTCCCCTTTGAGCCAATGTGCGTATCTGGAAAGCTGCATATAACATTGAGAGGTATCACAGCTTCTACTGACTACTTCTGTGCTTGATACCATGCCACCAGCTACTGAACTCTGATAGCAAATAAAACTTGACTGTGATTAGGCACCACGGGTAGTGTTTGCTTAGGAGTTTCTGGAACAGCAGTGACTGTTACAGGCCAAAGTTGTGGCATTTGGAAAGGAATCTGTAAGCCTCGTGACCAGTAACAGAAGGTGTTGCAAGGCAGATTCAGTTAAGAGAAGTGAGTGGAGGAATCTGGGCTAGAATAGCAGAGCAGAGCAGAACAGGGAGCAGGATTTACACGTGTCAGAAGAACAGGAATGGAAGCTGCCATAGCCCCTGCCCAAAGTGTACTTGGCAATAGGCAGAGTTCCCAGTCTATCAAATTCAGACATGCTAAGTCACTTACAATGTAAGTCATACATCAAACTGAAAAATGCATCCACTGCTAAAAATCATCACTGCTGAAGAAACACCATGTCCAAAACTGTAACACTCCACTTAAAGTAACCTTGGGATCCAAACTCTGTTATTGCAAGAAGCTGCCCCTCTGATTGGTCTGTCTAGATGTCTTTTTTTTCTTTGGCGGCATTTGGCAGGGTTTTCCAATGGAGGGGAAAATGGTGCAGACCAAATTACTTACTATTTTTAATTCTTGAGGAACAGGAGTGTACCAAGTCAATTTGTAACAACGAAGGATTCTCCTTTCTCCCGTCTGCGGTTGGAGTGAGATGATGTAAACAAAATTAAAATACGAAAGATGCATCTTCAAAAATTCTTCTGCCTGCCAAGATGAGGACTTTGCAAATCTTTTTTCAATCGGTTATCCTTGGATTTCTTCTGTATCTTCTAGATACTTTTTCTTCACAGGAGTGAAGTAAATGAAATTCTGCAAAGCTTTTCTCCAAATGGCTTCAGAGGAGTTGAAGAGCAAAGACGACTTCATTTCTGATGGGTTGAGTTCCTCCTGTTTTGCCTCAATGAAAAGGAATATGACCTTATACTTTACACTAGTGCAACCATTTTTTCCTGGCAAGAGTTTCAAGGCGAGCAGCAGTACCGCACTTGCAGCATCAGAAATGTATAACTCAGCTTTGTTCTAACATCTGAATGTGGAAGTATTAGCCACCTTCTTCAGAAGTACCTGCAGAAGAAATTGGAAGAAATTTAAAGATAAAAACAGCATGTTACTATGTCCTATTCTTGAGACTGAAAATAGTGGAGAGAACTAGTGGTGCCAGAAAACAGAAATAATGTCTAGACATACCGGCAGAGAATAGCAGCAGGTTGAGACTTTTATATAGTGGCCTTAAAATAAGGAGGGCAAAGTGAATCAAAAAACCAACTGTAGAGGTGGTTAAAGGAGATAAATTCGGTTTTCCGTTGTTCACAAGAGCTGCGTTCTGGTTGGCAGCAGTTTAGGCTTGCCTCTCAATGAGCCTCAACCCTGATGGGAGAAACCAGTCATAGGGTTGAAAGTGAATTCTGCCTCCCTGGGCCATTCAGCCCTTGTTCTCTCTGGCAAAGCTGTTGGCCAGAAAAGTGCTACATGTGATTGTGGTCATGGCAGTTTCTGTACTGTGGGTGCCAGGACCTGTAACATGGGATGGGTCTGAGACCTATTGACTTAATTTACTCCAGTTGCATAATAGCCATGTAAAACCCCCTCTCAAGCCTGCCCAAGTGCTGATCCAGACTAGTCAGGGTTTGGTTACCTTCACTATATGTAGCATTTAGTAAGGACTCCTTAGTCTTTAGCTTCTAATGAAACAGCTGCCATCTCTTCTGTACTCTTCAGTTTTTCCTTTTCTGGACTGTTAATAAAAAAGAAGGTACAAACAACCATCAGATACCGTGTTCCCAGGTTCCTGAGTCAGAAGGAGATAATAAGCATGTTATATAGAAGGTGCACCATGCTTCCCACAGAGGGCCCTGGGTGTCTGGCTTATGAAAGACGGGAGAATGTCTAACTTCCACTGGCTGTGACCCCACCCCAGAGGCAGCCCTGTGTTTGACATGCCACCCCCACTTAATTTTCTCTGACCCGCTTATCCTCTGCCAAACTTGGCTGCCCAGCATTTTATCCAAGCCAGTTGGACTGTGCAGTGTAAGAGCTGGAGGCACAAAAGGGTGGAAGTAACGCAACGGATGCAGTGAAAAATGTATGGGTGAGTCACCCCGAGTGGTCAAGAACATCACTGATCTCTTTGGAACCAGGGGTCCAAAGTTATTCAGGCCACTTCTCTAGGTGCCTCTCCAGCCAGTCCTGCACAGGCGGTGTGCGGTTAACACTAATGCCGTGTATTACAGGGTGTTGTCCTGTAAGCCCTTTATGTGCATGGCTAGTGTGAGGTGGCATTGCATCTGTTTAGACAAACTGCAGATTGCAGGTGGCATTGAAACTGTTTAGGCAGGGCAGCTGAAGGCTGCAGGTTACCAGGCAGCTCGATCACAGTTGGTCAGATGTGGTCTCCCAATCCCTGTCCTATTCTGTCATCCAAATCTTTCTAAAAAAAAGTTCCTTGGGATCAAGTCTTTTAATTTCATTCCCCATAACATCTTCTGTCTCTTCCTTTCTGCCTTTGTTGTGCTCACCGAGCCATAGCCCATTACCCAGCTGCTATTTCTCTGAATGACAGAGCAGCACACTTTGTGGCAATAATGGCATGATGGTACTGAACCTGTCCTTAAGCCTGTATTTGTTCAGCTGGTAAGAGCTGTAAAAGTTGGCCTTGCCCTCATGTAAAAGATACTACTTAAAGCTGTAGCTACATGTGGCCAGAAAGTAATCATATTTGATGTGTCCTTTGGTGTGGTGAACAGGCAAGAGTTTATCTTAATTGCACAGGACATATCTGCCGCACCAGCCCTGGTAGACAGTGGTGCACCTCTCCTTTATCCCTAGCATGGGCACAGCAAGCTTCCCCCGCAACAGCTGGCTTTTCCCGGCTGCTCCACCATGAGTAGGAGCCGGGTTATGACTCAAGGGCTCGTTCCAGCTGTGAACCCTCTCCTGGGGATGGCAGCAAGGGGCCAAATATGCCCACTTGTTTTGGAGGACTTTGTGCTGAAGATGTTTTGCTGTAGTGTGCTAGCTACTGGCTCCAGACTCCCATGAAGATGCATTTTAAGAAGGCTTCTCAGAAGCCCCTGTCCTTACAGCTCTGTCTCCACCATCTCGGTTCTCTTCTCTTGCCGTTTCCTCCGGTAGTATCGACAGAGAACTACAACGATCACCAGAATGATCATCAGTGCACAGGCAGACCCAATAGCCACTGCCAGGTAGTGGATTTCTGAAAAACGCACTGCACAGAAGACAAACAAGTGAATGAAAGAGGGGGGGCAAAATTTGGGGCTGGGCACATGACTGGGAGCCAGGGACTCCTGAGCTCAGTCCTTCAGACCCACAAACACAGTGCATTTGTTTATTTTCCTCCCATACCGCCTCTATCATCTTCCTCCCCTCTTGTGTTTTGACCGTCGTGGGGAATTTTACCATTCCCACACTAGTTAATTCCCTACTAGTTGTGACACTGCCACGTACCGCTCTGCACAACGCTGAGCCGGATTTCACCAATCGTGCCGCTGACGTCTGGTGGGTTCTTCACCTGACATGTGAATGTCCCGTTGTCGGTCGGCTTCAGGTTCCAGATGACAATGGATGCATCGTTCTTATGAATGTTTCCATCCCAAGTAACACGGTCTTTAAACCGCCCGGTAAGCAGAGGATAGGGCTGGCCTTGGTAAAAGAACACCTAGGTGGTCAGGAAGAGGATGTGTTACTGTCCCCATGTGGTATTGTACCCCTCCCCAACCTGGATGAGGCAGCTGCCTGTTCATAAACTTGTGCTCAGGACCATTCTGTGAAGGCTTTAGAGCTCTAGACATTCATAAAACAAGCAGGACTGTGGGATCGTGCTGCCCCCGCTTCAGCTTGGGGACCCCACTTAGGCCCCAGCTGCCCTCGTGCAACGCTATTCTGTCTAATTACTATAGGTCCTGTCCTAGGTACACTTTAGGGTGTATGCCAGCTATTGCTGGCACAGAACCTGGCAGCACCACTGGGAAGCAGCCGTGTACCTGAGCATGGTGGGATGGAAATAAAGTCACAGGTCCCCCTTAAAAATGGCTCCCTTGATCCTAGCTGCATATCTCCTGCATCCTCACTCCTGGTTCCTTTTCTCATGTGTTTGCACCTCTGAAAACATGCAGCTTCCATCCCAGTTGTTGAGGCTTGGAGGAGGGCCTGGGCCAGGCAGGCGGGAGCTGTGCTGAATCAGCCTCTCCCAGCAGAGCTCAAAGGCTGCCCTAATCCTAAAATGGATCCTTCATGAGGCACAGTGGCATAGAGAGAGACAGCCTGGCCCAAGTTGAATTTATGGTAGCCTGTTGAACCCCGTTTCATTTTTAATGGGGCCCTTACTTATGCATTTTCCCTGCAAAATAATACTGTAGCTGCAGTGCAGACAGGACCAGATTCAGCTTTGGTGCAAGTAGGTGCAGTTCCACTGGGCTCTTAAGTGTTTTAAATTGGATTTGGCCTGAACTATTTAAAAATGGGTCTAACCAGGTTTAAGAGCCAGAATAGCCAGGGCCAGAGGCCAAAGCTCCCCATGAAAAGAGGAGTTAGTTGAATCAGTAAAGACAAAAGCCACACCACAGTCCTACGTGACTACTTGTCTGCTGTCCTCACCCATGTTCACACCTTAGATTGTTACACTCCTATTGCTTAAGTGCTGTGCCTTGGGCAAGGTCTGGGTGAGCAGTGCTGTAACACGCTGGAGAGTAAGGTTTCCACTTACAGACTCATCTGAGCCTTTATCCTCGGGCCGGAAGTTCCAGGTCACCGTCAGTTGTGGGCCAATGGGGCTAAAGGTGGAAAAGGTGCATTTTAAGCGTATGTTAGTCCCATTCAGAGCTTCCTCCTTCCTGGAAGTGTGGATTTCCACAGCTGCCGCAGGCCACAGTGCTGTAGAGAAAATAACAAGGAGATACGGTAAAGAAAAGCTCTAGTCTGGAAGCAAGTTCCTAGCCCTTCCTTCGACACAGCGAGCCCTGGCTGGAGCCTGCTATATCAACTGCTGTTAATGTGTAAACTAAGAATCCTAAGAGCACACTTTTAAATACTGGTGATAAGAGTCTTGCCTGTGTAGAACCTTGAGGATCCCAAAGCACTTCTCATACACACTCAGCTGACACGTGAGCTGCACAGAGGTGATTTTGGGTGGGTCTTTGCTATGTCCTTGGGAACTTTAGTGTTACTGGCAGTGGGGGCCACTTCTCTGTGGAAGGAATGCTTGATCAGGGTCTCTTGTTATGGTCTCAAGTGCCTCTTGCTGGGTTGGGGCCTTTGCAGATTTAGTTTAAATGGCTCTGGAAATCATCCTTGAATGCACTGGAAACAGGAACCCAAGGCCAAAGTTTTTCCTGTGCGCACACTGCATCTTTTTGCAGAAGGCCAGTGCCCAGCACTGTGCTTTCATGGTAGTGTAGCAGTGCCTCAGCTGTGGATTGTCTTTTGGGGCTGAATCCCACCTGAAGGAGTCTGAAGGCACAGATGATCCCCAAGCCTCCCTTTCATGCAGTGAGTCAGTTTTGTGCTGACTGGTCTCTTCCAGGATTTGTTACTTTCTCCTTCGTCCTTCCCACGGTGCAGCTCCTGCGTGGGATGGGGCACAAGGACTTAAATGGAACAGGCTGTGCAGCAGGTCTCTGGGGATGGCAGATAGCTGGCCTGCTGCAGCTGAAGTTTCATAAGTCGGGCAGGTTTGGGTCTGGCTGCTGGTTTCATGTGGGAATAATGTGGAGAAGCTCCCAGTAGGAGCCATGGGATACTGTTGGTTACTGGGCAGGAGGCTGCCTTCTCTCTGAACCAATATAGAAAGGTTTGGCCCCAGAAGCTGCTGTGCCCCTGGAAGTGCCGCCTTTGTGTTGTGAAAGAAACCTGCCGCTGGCAGGCAAGGCAGGTCCCGTGTGGTTTTTGGAATACCTGGAAACCTCCGTGTCCTGGGCCTGTTCCAGGTAGGCGACTCCTTTCCACTTCTGCAGTTCCCGTCTTCCCGTCCTCATGGCTCATGCTCCTGAGAGGTGTTAAGCAACTGCCCTCTCCCACCGCAGATAGGGTGGGTGAAGTCTCTTCTTTACACACACTGTGTTATCAGGTAGAGTTTTTAATGCACTTGAGGATGAAAACTGCTGCACACAGCAAGTTGTCCCTGCTGGAGAGCATGCATGGCCCAGGCTGCTCCCGCTGCCCAATTATGGGCTGGCTGCTAGGTGGTGGTTTGGGGTGGTGCCAGCAGCTCATACAGGAAGTCCCCACTGTCGCATCTTCGTTTGCCAAACATCCGCAGTTAAAAAGCAAGAAACAAAAAACCCACCCCCGCTGAGTTTATGAAACAAGTAAACACTAGGGTAGGCTGCTAATGAAGAGTGGCCAGAGACAAGGAGTGGGAGGGGGCAGGAAGAAGCAGGGCCCATAGACGCCAGAAAGCATCTCCTGTCCAAAGCTCTTGGCTTTGGGGCCCTCATTCTGCTCCTGTGTTCCTTGATTTAATGCAGCCACTTAGTGACCTTGAGCCCAATGTGTACCATTGTGAGAGTAGGATCAGTCCCTTAAGCCCTGCCTGCGCAGGCAAAACAAGTGCTTTTACGGTTGGGTCCTTTGCTAAATCCAAGATAAGGGCTAACGTGTATCAGTCCAGCAGTGCTGGAAGGATTCCAGGGGTATCCACTCTGCTGAAATACTCGCCTGTCTTACCCACGGAGGCATGGCCCTAGTGCCCTGGCGGCTCTCCCCCATGTACAGCTCACTGCCCCAGGCAGCGATGCAGTTGTGGAGCACAGAGCTGAAGCACAACCTACGCTACAGAGGTTTCCCTGCAGAACTCCAGGCATCATGGAAGACATGCTGTTTGAATGGGGATGGGACAGGGACTTCTAACCTGGGAAGGAGGAGACGATCCATCTAAAGTGGGCCACCTGAGACCATGCTTGCATGTGGGGAGCGGCTCGGGGAGGAGATGTACATTCATACTCCCAGGGCAAAGGGTGGGAGACATCACGCATGTTCATACCACATAACTGATTCCTTAACTCGGCTTCACGCAGCAATTGCCTCTGCCTTCCCTAAATGAACAAATCTTGAATAACTTCCAGCTGGTCACCTATTAGACTCCTGTGGAGATGCCACCCATTTTAAACCTAAATTCACCCCTATCCCAGCTACTTTGAAGTAAGCCCTTTACTGCAAAATAATCCATTTGGGGCTGAACAACACAGTTGGATTTGAAAGGAAAGGGGTCTGCATTTTTAAGCTTTCTGTCCAAATAATTGGCTGGTGTTTAGTTTCCTTGGCTGAAGTGTATGGGGTTACATGGGAAGGAGGAGGGGGGGTTGCCATAAAATACTCCCAAAATAAACTAAAACCCTAAAACCTGGAAATAAGCAGTTTTTACACTTCACTCTTGTTTTCACAAAAATATCTGGGAAATATAATGTGCTTTACCTTAAAAGTAGCACATGCTCACAAGAGGTAGTACTCAAATATTTTGAAATGTCAAACTTGTGCATTTGAGAATCTTTTTGGCTAATATAAGATTTCCCAGAAAAGTCTTGATATCCTCTTGAAAAGGAAATCCCCAAATCACCATAGGCTCTAAAAAGAGCAAAGCTAAGGGTATTTTTTTCACAACAGAGTCCAAGAAAAAGGTGTCTGAGTTGGAAAATGGTGAGAGAAGCAATAGAAAACATTGGGGGTCTCTGCTCAGATTCAGCTCCCAGTTGATCCAGTGCAAGTCCTCATCAGTTCCACTGAGGTCAGTGTCTTTGTTCTGGATGTACGCTAGTGTCGGAGATCTGAAACCAGCCCCGACTCTTTGCTAATCTCTCCATTTTTAATGTGACAAAGATGGTGAAAGAGTCACTCAAAGTAAAGTCCAAAGAGCGCCTGGCTGGAGCAGGGCCGGAGGGGAGGAAATGGTGGTAACTGGAGCTCAGAATGCACTCAGTGTTCGCCGCCCTCCCCTGAACACACCTAAACCTGTTTGTCCAAGAAACACAATCGCCCCGTAGCTCTCAGCAAAGTCAGACCAAAAAAATTGCAACCACGTTCTGGCTTACACAGAAATGCCTGAGATTTCTACAAAGTCACTGTCTTCAGGACGAAGGAGACTTAAAGAGCAGGAGGGTAAAGTCCAAGGGGCAACTGAGGCCAAAGAGAAAAATATGTAAAGAGTTCCTTACCTAGGATCTGTGGCCCAAGAAGGAGCAGAGCCCCCACCCAGCTGGGGCCAGGGGCTGAGGAAGGCAAGTCCATGCTTCAGAGACTCCCCCAGTGCCCAGTGGCTCCCCTCCCCCAGACGACTGGGTGGGGAGCAATCTCCCAGAAGTCTTCCCTTCCTGGGACTGTTCCTCCACTTGCCTCACCCTGCCAGGCTTGGGAGCACTTGCTCCAGCCTGAGTCACGGAGCAGCACTCCCGTGCCCTTGCACTGGAATGAAAGGTGGGGCCAGCAAGCTCGCCTCCCTCCCACAGCCCAGGCAGAGTTGCAAAGGGATTGATCTCTCCTTTCCCCTTGCCAGCTTACTCCACCTTCCAGGTGAAGCCATCCTTGCGTTGAGAGAGGATGGAAAATCTGCCCCAGGGTGTTTACAAACACAGCTGAAGGGAGTACTGATTGTTTTTCAAATCGTCTGCAAAGGACAGTCCTTATGGCAGCAATACAGGCCTCCTCCTGACTTCTCGCTCAGCCTATGCCCAGAGGCAAGGGGAGAAAAAAGCTCTTGCTGAAACAGAAGTGCCTGCAGTAACAGCAGTGGGAGCAGATGTGAACACATCCCTCTGTAAAATGGGTGTAATCGGAGAGGGTGCTCTAGCATCCCTTCTACAGCGCAATAAGCAGGCTAGAGGAATAAGGAACTCAATGGCACCAAGTTTTTTCCTCACAAGTAGCGAGGAGAAGCGTCCGCATTAATAAGACAAGAGGGTTTGCGGCAGAGGGACGAAGTCGCTTCTGGCTGTCCTTAGAAGAGAGTAGAAGTGGCTGTGCCTTATGGTTTTAGCAGGTCCTTAAGTTCCTACCTCCCTGGGTCCTGGGGCACAGTTATCACAGAACAGGACCTCAGTTGCACAAACTGCCTTCCCCCAACACACACACCTTCCTGGGAGTCGCCGCACTGGGGCCGATTGCAGTCCGGAGGGCCGTAGAGCTGAACTCCCTGCTCGCTGGCGGGGCCTCGCTGGGATACGTTACGCTGCCAGAAGCAGCCTGAGGACCGTACCCTGCAGCTGCCCATTCTCCGGTGCTCTTACCCTCCGTTTAGGCATGGGGACAATGAAAGCATGTGAACAGGGCAAGGAGACTGCGGTTTGATGAAGAGAGCCTGGGGTAGGAGCTCACAGGTTTTGCCAGAGGAGAGACTACAGGTTCAGAGAGTACATCTCCTTTCCCATTTGCTGTCACGCCCCTCCTTATGCCAGCTTGCTAGGAAATAAGCAACATGTCATCAGCTTCTTTTAATGCAATCTGGAAGCAAGCAGAAGCCCCAGCACCACATGCCCAGTCAGCAGTCTGTGGATTGATGGTGCGCATAGCTGGCCTACAGGTTCACAGTCCTGTTACTGGCTGTAAAACACCATACATGGCTATTTTCACTGTATGTTTTGTCCCCCCCATCCCCTCTGCTTCATATCACCAGAGTTTCCTTAATTGCTCTTCAGAATTATTTCTCCCAATCTCTTACTTTTAAAATTTGGACATTTATTGTCAGGCATTAGTTTTTTTGCATGGCGGGGGGGGGGGAATGTGTTTGCTGCCGCGATCCTGGTCTTAAACTTCTGCATAAAATGGATGGACCGCTGTTAGAAACGGTGCTGAAGATGGTTTATGGCTGAAAAAGAGCACCGTCTGCAGAGACTTCTGAGTCAGCAGCTGGGACAGAATGGGCAGGAGTGCTCTGGGCAAAAGTGAGCTGAGCAAGAAGAGGAGGCTTGATTAAAAAGGGCTTGGTTTCTAGAGAATTACCAGGGAAGGTAATCTCAAAAGATTAAGTTGCTCCCTGCATGTGCTCCTGTTTCTGTGGAAGGAGAGGTGATGCCAACCTACTTCTGCTATTGCTGGGATGTGGTGGCATCCGGTGCTTTGCTACAGTTCCAGAGACCTGAATCCATGTCCTGCTCTGGGCACATCTCAGAGGCTGACCCCAGCTGACCCATCTGCAAGTAGGTACCCTGGTCACTCATGCTGGGGAATTAAAGGTGGTTGTATGTGAAGCCTGCGCTATGGGCACTGTTGCGCCTCCCCCATGCTGGCTGGGTTGTTTGACTTGGGTGGGCCTTTTGAGTTGTGGTGATTTGTGCGCTATTTGCAAAGGGCTTTCAGATTGTGGGGTGAAGAGGGGTATTTGTGAGGAGTGTTATAAGGGCTCCCCTCACCATCAGGCCAGGGAGAAGCAAGTTTCCTGCTGCTCCTTGGTGCCCCCTCCCTGGTGGCATAAGGAGCACCCTGTGGAGCCCTTCCGCTCCCTGCCTCTGGAGAGGTGAGGCTCTCATATCACCACCGCACCTGGGAGCCACCGCAGCCCCCTTCCCTCTCCCTTTGGGGCCTTGCAGGAGTGCAGAAGGTGTTGTTCAAGAGCAGGACATTTGGTCCGTGTCTGCAGTCCCTTCTGGAGCATGGAAACTTGTGCCAGGGAGAAGGAAAAGGCCGGGCTCCGTGTGCACGTGACTGAGTTCTTGTTAATTCCTGCAGATGGAATCCGTTGGCCACAGGCCTGGGAGCAGCCAGGGAAGCTGAACACATGCAGCTGCTGTGGCCCAGGGCCCACCCCTGGCAGGCAGGGCAACTCCTTCCCCGCCTAGTCTGTAAAGAGCTGACGGGATGGGGCTGTGCCGTCAAGAAGTGGTCACCCTTGTTAGTTCTGCAGAATCCCACAGTATGCAAATCTCTAGCGCTGTGGGCCGCTCTGGACTGGCTGCTCAGTGTGGTTTGGGTTCAGGCCTGAACTTGCAGCAGTTTGGCAATTGCCTTCTGTTTTGCCCCGTGGCTCCCTTTCCAGGTGGGGGAGGCTGGCCCAGTCCCACAAGGGTGCATGTGTTTCCTGATTCTGAGGAAGCAGATCCATCCTAATTGCAGAGTGTTCGGTTTGGGTACTAGGCCTTGCCTCATCTGCTGCGCACAGGGAGGGGATGGATCAGGGCTGGGCAGCACCACAATGGGCTGTTCTCTGCTGTTTCATCCCTCCTGAAAATGGCTCCTACGGCCTGAGCTCCCCTGGGAATTGATGCTTTTTTCACCTGTGTCCCCTAGAGCAGTGGTTCTCAACCTTTTTTGTACCAGGAGCCATTTGTAAACATCGATGCCCAGTCTTGGCCCTGTGGCCCTCACTCCCAACACACTGCCCCCAGACCCCAGCCCTCCAGTGTGTGGGGCACGGGGGCCATAAGCAGTCCCTTGCAAGCTGGAACTGACGTCCTGCAAGGGAAAAGCCACAGTTTCCCACCCTTTTCTCCTTTAAAGAAGAATGCATTTTCAAAGTTTGTTCGTGACCTTTCATCTATTCGTGCGACCCACTTTTGG